AGCACACAAAAATCTCTGTCAAATGGGTTTAAATCTGGTTATTTTCTCCTCAGCTCAGCAGCAGCTGGAGTTTCTTGAAGGCCGCAAAAAGCAGTACATGAAAGCAGCGCTGCAGGCAAAGCAAAAGAATGACCTAGAGCATGCCAAGACCCTCCTGCGTGCAGCAAAAAGTTTGGACCCCATGATAGAAGCCGCCCGCAGTGGCAAGACAGTGGATGTAAGCAAGGAAATACTGTCATTGTTTTTTACCAAATTCTTTAACAAATCCATAATGACATGAGTAATAACTCCCCCTTTATTTTCAGGTGCCTTCACCGCCTGGAGATGAGGATAAGGACTTCATCCTAGTCCATCACAGTGATGTTCAGATCTCAGAGAAGGCTGAAGAGGTCTACACTCAACTCACAAAACTACTCAAAGAGCAATATGAGGTAACAAGAAGGTGGCGATTTAATGAAGTAACCGAGAGAATGGATCTGTGCCAAAACCTAGTGAGCCACCTTGCTGTCTACTGTTAACATAGTCAGCTACCGTCGAAATGGATCTGAAATGAAATCTCATACGTCACTGAATTGGAACTCTGTATGTGCACGCTACACAAATAGCATACTACATTTTTGAATGCAATAGTTTGACATTAGCATGATGCTCAGCTAACATTGTGATACTCTAGCAAAAAACATAAAAATACGTATTGGGTTGGCGATTATAATCAATAAAACTGTATTTATAGTCAGTATTTCACAAATTGTGCTTACAAAAATTGTTTGCTACATAGTTAATTTTAATAATGTGATGTTAGCGGTGCTAAGCATAAAAATACACATTGGGTGAAATGGTCAATTTTATAGTTAGTTTTTCATAAATTGTGCTCATGAGAAGTGCATGTTATACAGCTGATTTTAATAGAGCATGACGTTAGCATGTTGCTAATAGTGTGATACTATAATAAGCATAAAAATACATATTGGGTAAAATTGTATATCAGTAAAAGTATATTTTTAGTCAGTATTTCACAAATTGTGCTCACAAGGAGCACATGCTACACAAAAAATATCAAAAAATTCCAAAGAAAACACCACACAAACAAAAAAAAACCCTTGCATCACAGGAAGTGTATTGTGATTTGTCAAAACATTACAATGAAACAGGTTTACTGACAACATATGTATAATTACTGCAATACTGCAAAACAAATAACTTTGATAATGCTAACTTATTTCTACATAGGGCGTACAGCATTAGTACCTAAACGACGGACACACACAGCGTGTGACGAGGCTTAACATCTTTAAAAAAAGATGAGAAAAATGGAAAGAATTTTTCGTAATCCGTTTAAATATTCACATAATATTTTGTTTTAAAATGCACATACAATTAGGAGTTAATTTTTGCAAATGTTGTAAAAGCAAAACAACAAAATGTTCCTTGCCACATTCGGTTACGAATTATGAATCACGTAAATGATCAAAACGGTCGTCGAGTAGTTTGCATCACAGAATATTACTGTTGGTTATTTAACATTTCTGTTGTAAAACAGCAGTCAAATAATAAATGTTTTCCTACTTGCCTCACACTCTTTCACTGTTAAAAAATGCCGTGGTGTCGCGCTGGAACAGTAAAGCCCCGCCCTTCTTTGATTTGATTGGCCATTTAAATCATTCTGACATTGACGAGCGCTGTCTGGGGTTTTTTTTTTTTCATAAATAAATATTGAATTTGGCAGGGACATTTTTCTGCGTGAGAAAATTGATGTGTGGCGTGAGAGCGTGAGAATAGTGTCAATTGCGTGAGTCTCACGCTGAATGCGTCAGAGTTGGCAGCCCTGTGCTCATGAGAAGCACATGTTATTCAGTATAAGAATTTGATGTTAGCATGTTGCTAAGCTAACAGTGTGATACTCTAACAAGCCTAAAATGTATATTGGGTACAATAGTACATTTTTTATTTAATGTAGATGAGTATATAGCAGTGGTGATGAGCGGTGACTTCTTTAACTGTGTATGTTGTGTACCAATTTTGTAATTTTTTTATTTATTTATTTTTACCTGTGACGTAACCTAATAGAGTAGTTAAACAGTACGGTGGATTATCTTAGGACAGTGGTTCTCAATTCCAGTCCTTCTGACCCCCGCTCGGCACATTTTGTATGTATCTCTTATCACTTCAGGAGTTTGTTCTATTCTACTGTAAGTGCCCTGTGCAGTGGACATGAATTATTCATTAAATTGTATTTATTTACAGAGGTATATTATGTCACACTTTACACTTCTCTAGTAAGTTTAGTCTGTGTGTGAAGACGCTGAAGGCAGTGGCGTAGCCCAAATCTGCGAATGAATGTTCCGAAATGAAGTAAACTTTAACAACTTTCCCGTGCTCAGAGAATAGGGATCAATGAACACTGTGTAGGGATCCCATCAATTGGAACACAGTTCATGCTTGGATCTCTCTTCTAACAATTTGGTTACTGAATAAGGTGTGTTAAATCCGTCTGAGCCATTGGAATCGATTTCTTGACTCTACAGTTACAAAGTTTTTAATTTGATTTAATTGAGTTAGCTTAGCTACAAAAACAATGGGGTCATTCCGTGTCAACTCAACCATAGGTCCCCCGCTCAAATTTTTGATTTTGCTAATATTTTTGCCAGTGGTGTCCATTCAAAAATGGGGAAAGAGCACTTTTCAAGTTCTTTCTCCAAAGTTTGCTGGCCTGTAACTCAAAAAGCATTAAAGATATCTTAATGCCCTTTTAGATATTGGGTTTGAACTAACTTCCCTTTTGGCATCTTCATTTGTAAGGCCCTATATAGTTCAGTTCCAGAGATTATAGAATTTCAATATGGGTCCAGAAGTAAATCGTTAAATTGTATACATTTTCAGTGGTCAAAAACCAAATGTGGGTGACTTTGCAAAAATATGATACTTTTTTTCTTTTAAAGAGGAATGTCTGAAGAACTAATAATGTTGGAACTAGAAATGTACCTCTTTTCTTTCTGTCAAAACGACTGCATTGATCATATCCGTCTGAGTGCCATAAATATGATTTTTCCAATGTTTGCGTGTCTATAACTCAAGAAGTATTAAAGATATTGCAATGTGATTTTTAGATTCTAGTTCGTAATAAACTTTTCTTTTGGAATCTTCATTTTCAAGGCCCTACATCGTTCAGTCCCAGAGATATGGGGGTCTCAATGAGGCTCCATTTTCAGATGTTCCAATAATACCCATTTTCAGTGGTTGAAAACCAGATGTTATTCACTTTGTATAGAGCCGATACTTATTTTATTTAAAGCGGAATGTGTGAAGAAGAAGTAATGTTGAAACTAGAAATGTATCTTGTTTCCCTCTGTTAAAACAATGGTATAGGACATACCTGTATACCTGAGTGTCATAAATATTCATTATCCAAAATTTGCGTGCCTGTGACTCAAGAAGTATTAAAGTTATCTTAATTTGATTTTAGATTCTGTTTCCTAGGAATCTTTTCTTTTGGAATCTTCATTTTTTAAGGCCCTGTATGGTTTAATACTAGAGATATCGAGATCTCAGTGCAGCTCCATGTCCAAATTGTTGTATCCTATCCATTTTCAATGATCAAATACCAAATATGGTTTTGTGTTTATCTAGTCATCATTGTTAGCACTGTCAAATATGCAAATAATAACAGTAGCCCAGGGTTTAGGAATGTACAGTGTGACATCAGATTATGAATGACCAGGATTAATTGTTAACTCTGGGTAAAGTATGAACAGTGTGAAATGTAAAATAAGATTGCCTAGGATCCCATTTACCTGGGGTTTAGAATTATTCAGTGTTAAATGTACTATCAGTGATTCTGCCAAATATGCCCTTTAGCAGTAGAATACTGCTTGATCTATGACTGCTTCACATTTTATAACAATAAAAAAGACATTTTAATAATTAATCCAGGTGAGGCAAATCTTGGTTTATTGATGTGAATGCAATGTGTGGCGAAAGCACACGTGGAATTTGTTTCAAACATGTTACAATACTGCATGTTTGGGCTCTTGGTAGCTTCACAAGCTGTTAAAACAAAATCCTTTCTTCTAAATATCCCTAAAACCGATATTCAAATATAGAATCTTGTGAATAGACTACAGAGAGCAAGGTAATGTGCCTCAACTTGACCATTTCAGTGCATTTTAGACAGGTATGAAACAAGATACAATTCTAATTTCAACATTATTTATTCTTCAGACATTGTTCTTTAAATAAAATAAGTATCAGCTGTATACAAAGTGACCAACATTTGGTTTTCAACCACTGAAAATGGCTAATATTCCACAATCTGAAAATGAAGCCTCATTGAGACCCCCATATCTCTGGGACTGAAGGATGTAGGGCCTTGAAAAGGAAGATTCCAAAAGAAAAGTTTATTAAGAACTAGAATCTAAAATCATATTGCAGTATCTTATTTCTTGAGTTATAATACTTCTTGAGTTATACGTCTCGAGTAATACTTCTTGAGTTATAGGCACGCAAACTTTGGAAAAATAATATTTATGGCACTCAGACAGATGTTCAATGCAGTTGTTTTGACAGAAGGAAACAAGATACATTTCTGGTTTCAACATTATTTGTTCTTCAGACATTCCTGTTTAAAAGAAAAGTACCACCATATTTTTGCAAAGTGATTTTGCAAAGTTTGGCAGTATCTCTGGAACTGCATTATTTAGTTAAAAATCATTAAAAAAGTTAGTTAAGACCCAATATTTAAAAGGGCATTAAGATATCTTTAATGCTTTTTGAGTTACAAGCCAGCAAACTTTGGAGAAAAAACTTGAAAAGTGCTCTTTCTCCATTTTTGAATGGTCACCATTAGCACATAAATGCAACAAAGATTGCTAAAGTCAACAGATTTTACCAACAGATCTAACAATCTCTGTGTAAAAATAACATCATGATGCTGCCGTCTTTCTGAAGTCATTTTTAACCCCCTGTAATTTGCCTCGGAATCTCAGGTGAAAATTGCCATTTTGACCCCCCCTCTACAAAATAGTGGATTACTCAGTAAATATTCATCCATGACATTTAATATTTTGGCTTTCATCACTGTACATGTTTATCTTTCTTCGGGAAAAAAATATTAGCAAAATCAAAAATTTGAGCCGGGGACCTTTGGTTGAGTTGACACGGAATGACCCAATGTGATTTTTCGATAATCAAGACCTGGCAGCACTTTTACACTTGGGCGAGCAGACAGCCTATCTTGCTCATGAAATCACCCACATGCTTAAAATGCTGTCTAAGTAGGTAGATGACTAGGTTTTGAGACAGAACCTATAAGCGGATGTGGAATATGTAAGTAGGACATGTTTCCTTTCTTCTTCAGAAATGTGTGACATACTCCAAGCAGTTCACGCACATGGGGAATGTTGCAGAAACAACCAAGTATGTATCGCATCACCAATACACCACTTCAATAAATGAAATTCAAGTGATTTCACTGGCCATTTCATTTATTCCTATTTCACCTCTTTTAGATTTGAGAACATGGCAGAACAATGTAAGAAGAGCCTGGAGATTCTTAAGCTGGCACAGAACAGGGGGCTTCAGCCTCCTAAACATTACTTTGAGGAGAGAACATATCGCACTGTCAGGTCTGACACTCTCGTTACAGATCTTACAACAAGGAAAAGCCCAATACAATAAAGCACAATACTTCACTACTGATCAACTCCACAGCTAAGGGAAATGTAAGAAGTCATTGAATAACATGCTTTCTTTTTCTTGACTGTTGCTCTTGTAGGATTTTCCCAGAGCTCAGTAGCACAGACATGGTTGTGTTCATTGTTAGAGGGATGAACCTTCCTGCTCCTTCTGGTAAGCTTCAAACAAACACTCAACATTGATCCAGTCATTTAAATGAAAGCATTTGGCGTTTGAGCAACAGGAACTTAAATGTAAATAAAATAATGTAATTTAAAATAATCTCATACTAGTAAGGAAGTATTTTAAACATCTCCCCCTCTGCTTTTTTTGAAAGGTGTTGCAACAAATGACTTGGATGCCTATGTCAAGTTTGATTTCCCATACCCCAGTACAGTGAGTATTAATTCTTCAGTCAACTAGGCTTTATTTTACCCAGTCATCCATTTGATTTTAATTATTACTTTCTCTTTTCATGTTAGGATCAACCTCAGAAGCATAAAACATCAGTCATCAAAAATACCAACAACCCAGGTGAAAATGTTGAGCTAATTATTTCTGTATCATCAGATACTTTTGAAATGTTTTTGAAAGAAGACTCTAATATTCACCAGGGGTCCATTTATTTGATCAAAACTACAGTAAAAACAGTAATGTTGTGAAATATCATTATATGCATATGCATTTAGCAGGCGCTTTTATCCAAAGCAACTTACATTGCATTCAAGGTATACATGTTATCAGTTCATGTATTCCCTGAGAATCGAACCCATGACCTTTGCATTACTACTGCAGGAATTATTACAATTTAAAATAACTGTTTTCGGTAACACTTTATTTTAGGGTCTCTTAACTAGTTGCTTATTAGCATGCATATTACTAGAATATTAGCCATTTATTAGTAGTAATTAAGCACATCTTAATGCCTTATTCGATATTGACCTTATTTTACATCCCTAATCCTTCCTAATACCTAAACTTAACAACTACCTTACTAACTATTAACAAGCTTCAAATTAGGAATTTATTGAGGGAAACGTCGTTGTTAATAGTGAATAAGTGTTCCCTATTCTAAAGTGTTACCCTGTTTTCTATTTGAATATATTTTAAAATGTAATTTAGTCATGAGATGCAAAGCTGAATCTTCAGCAGCCACTCCAGTCTTCAGTGTCACATGATCATTCAGAAATCATTCTAAAATGCTGATTTGGTGCTCAAGAAACACTTATTATTATTATTATTATCAATGATTAAAACAGTTGTGCTGCTTAATATTTTGGTGGAAGCCATGATACATTTACTCAGGATTCTTTGATGAATAAAAAGTTCAAAAGCATCTATTTGAAATAGATTTTTTTTTTTTACATTATAAATGTATTTACTGTCTCTCTTGATCAATTTAATGCATCCATGTTAAATAAAAGTATTAATCTTACTGAGCTCAGACTTTTAAACTTTTTGATTCAAATTGGGAGTATTTTATTATGTGAGATGGTGAAGTGTGTTAGTGTTAGGAGAGACATGAAAATAGCACAATTATGTAGGAAATCAGTTAGCCGGGACAAATATACAGTTTAGTGAACATTTTACAAAAAATATTTGACTGCAGGACACCATGAATGACAGAACTAGAATCAAGTATTTTAGAGAGCATTGGAAAAAGTTAATATTTGCTGCTGAAGGAATTGACTTATTTAGTGTTTTGGCAGGATATAACCAGAGCTTCAAACTGAACATCAACCGGAACCACCGTGGCTTCAGGAGAGTTATACAGTCTAAAGGCCTGAAGCTGGAAGTGCTGCACAAAGGGTGAGTAGTGTTGCTGTAGGGCACAAAGGGTGAGTAGTGTTGCTGTAGGGCACAAAGGGTGAGTAGTGTTGCTGTAGGGCACAAAGGGTGAGTAGTGTTGCTGTAGGGCACAAAGGGTGAGTAGTGTTGCTGTAGGGCACAAAGGGTGAGTAGTGTTGCTGTAGGACACAAGAGTGATCTCAACTTATCTCCAAATAATCACAATTTTAGGACTTTATTCTGTTTATTGTCTCCTAACAGTACACAGTTTCTTTAAGATTAATTTGTACTGGGGAGACACACAGGTCAGGATAAATATCAACCAGTGCTGGCCTGATTGAACTCTGTGGCAGTTGTGGTGCATGCTGGGTCAATGCGAGTAGGTGGATCTGAGCTTCACACTGACGTCTTTGTTTTGTGACAGTGGCTTCCTTAGAAGCGACAAGCCGATAGGAACAGCCCTGCTCAAACTGGAGAAACTGGAAACTGAAAGCGAAGTGAGAGAGATAGTGGAGGTGAGTGGGGCTACTTTTCAATAGTATGTGTGTCGGAGCCAGAGATGAGAGTGCAAACATCAGCTGAGAATGCAGACATATTTGTGTTTAACCGATGAGCTTGAGCTAAAATCGGACTTTCACACCCATTAGTCAGACAATACTGTGTTTACATTTGTGTATGAGATGTATGTTTATGGCATTGGCTTCATTTCTGTATGCAGCTCATGGATGGGCGGAAGGCCACAGGTGGTCGTCTGGAGGTGAGGGTGCGTCTCCGAGAGCCGCTGGGTGGGCAGGACCACCAGACTGTCACAGAACGATGGCTAGTGTTAGAGGAGCCACAGGTTAGTGCTACTGTGGCTGAATGCTCATATTTGTTCCTGTTCTATTGATCAGAATTGATCAAAGCGTCACACTCACCCAAAATGTTAACATAACGGTAAATATTTTGGGTGATTACAGGTGCATTATGCAATTTCATTTAATAATGCAGATTAAGAGATGACCTGCTTAATGTATTTATATGGAAATATTAAAAGGCCTGTGTGTTTAATCAGACCATCTTAAAATGATGCATGAAGGATATAGGACAGAAATATATTGCTATTGAATAGAATCATTTGTCATTCCTGAAACTGTATTCGTGGATGTTTGATCCTCTTAGACAAACAAAACGTTTCTTCAAATTGTGAATGGATTATGTAGAAAAACCAAGCAAAGGGCTCCTCTTATAGCACAGTTGATTGCTATTAGCCTATATAATTTTTCCCTTGGCTGGGTTTCAAAACTCTACAGGGAAAATGATCAAAAAACACAATAATAATAATAATTGATGTATTACTATTTTATAATATTCCTCTTGGCTGGGTTTCAAAAATCTATAGTGTGAATGGAAAATGACCAACATAATAAAAAAATGTATAAGTTAAGAAACAAACAAATAAATAATAATAATTATTAATATTAGTAGTAGTGGTAGTAGTCATGTCATTCACCATCTGTACAATATGTGTTCATAATACCTTGAAGGACATCATAAAGAATGGGCATTTATTCACATTGAACCTGGAATAATACAGTAAAATGCATCCATTAATCTTACACAGTACGTGAATGAATAATGAATCCATGTGACAATAAACGTCTGACGGTACTTTTATGAGTCCTATTCCTTAGTGAAAATCTTTTGTGTGTGTGTGTGTGTGTGTGTAAATGACACATTTATTTGGTTTTGACTGCCATCTGCTGTCTGTGTTAGGTACTGCTGTAACGGATGCCGTGATTTCATCTTCACAAAGTAAGAAAGTTTGATCCATTACTACTGACAGATGTATTATCACATTCATGTTACCCTTTACCTTGACGGTGGATTTTTCTAGCAGGTCTTGAGGTCTTATGAGAGCAGATGAAGGTATGGACGGTGAAAGCTCAACAGTGCTGCTAGCCTCGGGTACGAACCACGTGAAGGAGATCGTGAGGAACTTACTCAACAAGCTCTCTGTGCTTTGAGCCGTTCACAGAGAGACATAGTCACTGACAGAGGGAGTTAGCTTGGTCTTTATCAGGGTTAAACAGGTTGGACCAGGATGTAAGAGTTGGGGTGGTTAGTAAAAATACAGGAGATATTAATAAGAGGAGCAGGTAAATGTGCACAGACTTGCGTGACATTGAAATGCCTTTTGAAATAGATTGCCTCTTGATTTTATAATAACGCTCACCCCAACCGTTACATTAAAGGGGTCATATGATGCGATTTCAAGTTTTCCTTTCTCTTTGGAGTGTTACAAGCTGATTGTGCATAGATAAGATCCCTGAAGTTGCAAAGATTAAAGTCTCAAAACCAAAGAGATATTCTTTATCAAAGTTAAGACTCTGCCACGCCCCCCTAAAACAGCTCGTTCTAACACACCCCCACATATCTACCTCACTGTGTGGAAATATTTGCATAATGTGCACGCAAAGAAAGAAGGCGTGATTTCAGTAACCGCAGTTAGTGTTGAAGCAGCCATGTCAGGGAGACGCTGTGTGTTTCTAGGTGAAAGCAAAAGCACTTTTGGAGCTAAAGCCAATGAGAGCTAACTGTTTTTTTTGTTTAGTTTTTTACTGCTCTGGGATGCACTTGCACACTAATGCCAAAGTAATCACTGCTGCTGCAGTAAGATGAATAACTTAATCTGTTCTCTCTTAAACTAGGAGCCTGTTCCTGCCATATCTCAAATACTAATTTATGACTTCTATGCAAATGAGTTCTAGACGATTAGCTATGCAAAAAGGTTTGCGTTTGAATCCCAAACATTTTGTCAGACATTTCAAAGCTTGTTTACATCCTGTGTGAATTCACTGCTTGATTTATTACAGACAGGCCGTGTCAAAGTACTGCTGTTGAATATTATATTCCTTATAAATACCATTAAAGCCATAAACCAGCTTTTACTAATTGAACCAGACGTGAAATATTCATCAAATGTTCTGAATAATCGATTTTTTAAATGTTTGATTCAGGAGGTAAATGAGTGAGCGTGCCATGTTTTCAGAATGATTGAAAATATATAATTTTCCCAGTAAATTTACACTTCAGTTAGCTTTCCCAGCGCTTTGCTGACAATCAGGACTAGAACTGGTACTAGAAATGTCATGTACACATTCTCTGAACAGAAGTGCCAGTTTAGTTGACACAAGTAAGCAAAAGTAGAGTGGTTCTGCATTGTTTTGTATATATATTAAACTTAAAGGTGCTGTATGTAGGATTGACTAGTGGTTGAACTAGGTATTGCAGTCCAAATTCAAAATATTGGAGAGGGTTTTTTTCACCCGGCCCCTCCTCCTCAGACTTGACGCACACTCAGGTTGCCAGATTAATGACACCAACAGGAACGAGCGCACTTGAAGATGAATGAAATGAAATATGCTGTGTTTTCTGCCAACTGGCAACCCGGGGTGCCGAATTACAATTGGGTAAACTGGCAGTGGGTGGGTTTCACAAACCAAAACAGACCGACATTCCGGCCCGGTATGCACATTTTAAAGGAGAATAACTCACTAGCATTGTTTTTCAGATAAACAAGTATGTTAATTTAGCATGTTTCTTAAATATCTGCAAACATATTATGGTATTTTTATGCTTTAGTAGAGTCAAAAACTTACATAGAGCACCTTTAATATATGAGAGAAATCTATTATCGCTCTTCTTGCACTTGACGGTAGTTCTGTACTAGGGTTGCTCCTAGTAAGCACTTTTACATTGCGGTCTAGTGCGCACTTAAGTTAATATATTCGGACACATAAGATGACATCTTTTGATTATACTTGCCATAGAAATGACCTCAGAAATAGCTTAAAGGAATAACTCACCCAAAAATGAAAATTTGCTTAAAATGTACTCAGGCATTCCAAGATGTAGATGAGTTTGGTTCTTTATCAGAACAGATTTGGAGAAATTCCCTTGCTACCAGTGGACCATCTGCAGTGAATGGGTGCCGTCAGAATGAGAGTTCAAACAGCTGATAAAAACATCACAGTAAACATTTTAACTTTGACGCAGCGCTGACCTCATACGTCATCTGCTGGAGCTGCTTCCGTGTACAACAGTGAGCGCAAGCTAGATTAAAGTGATTATTAGGTTTTGAATATGGATATTTTTCTTACAAAAACGCATCGATTCGCTACAGGAGGCCTTTGTTCACTCCCCGGAGCCATGTGAGATGCTTTTTTTTTATGGATGAGCGCTTTTTATTTAACTGCTTTTGGATGAATGCATGCAACACCCGCTGAGTGGCATTAAACAGCTTGAAAGATCAAAGACTATTTTTAATATAACTCCGACTGGATTCGTCTGAAAGAAGAAAGTCATAAACACCTAGGATGACTTGAGGGGGTCATTTATGGGCTAATTTTCATTTTTGGGTGAACTAACCCTTTAACTTTGTTCAACATCTTTGCAAGTCTACATTACCTCAGGTTTGCCCATTTATATTTTGTGGTCCGTTTGGATTACGGCGTGTGAAGAATTGACTGACATTTGGCTAGTTTTAAGCATGGACAATGTACGATCTAGATTTATCAGCCTAGTTCTTACATTGTCCTGCATCTCTGTCCATTCGTTTTAGTGACAGTTGTTCCCATCTCATGTGAATTGTGTGGTTTGGCACATTTTCCAGTCTTGGATCGAGGTCGTCCTGGTTTAAATTGTACTGTCAGGGTCAATTCTTCATTAAATGGTTAAATCCACCGCAAGGTTAATCCTGAAAAACTCAGCTCTCAGTTTTCTGGTGATGTTACATATGCCATAACGTTTGAGTTTAGTCATGCGGTTCTCAATGCATCTTTCTACTCTTTCCCTCAAGAATCGGCCATGTAATTTATTTCCATTTTACAGCGTTTATTTAAACTGTTTTGTTATTAAACAAGGAAAAACCAAGATCTGCAGTTCCTGAATTTTCTTGGTTAACTGAAATGGATCATTTAATTTAAATTTATAATGGAGACTATTAATATAAAAAAAAAATTCAGTTTCTTGTACAAAGATGACATTTTGTATACTCAGCAGGTTTGATAAATACTGCTTTTATTGACATTTGTAGTGTACAATAAAGAAAGGTTGTATTGTCTTCCTTTTTGGCTTTTTATACATTGCAAATTTATTCCCATTTCACCCATATCCGGTTTTAACAGTGTTTCATCACAGATCAAATCAATAGTATTCAAAACTCGTCTTCTGAAATGCTGTCGAAATGCAAAGACTTTCAGAATGACATGTTCTCGTTGGTTTCAGCATGCATGCTGTTAAGCTTTGGGCTGACCAAAAAAAAACAAAAAAAATTACATGGTTAACAAAACACATAAATGTCAAGATATACAATACTGCACATCTAGAAAAACAATGACAAAGGTGGATACAGGGAGTAACAAAAGGCTGTTTTGAGCGGTGTTAGTGGCAAGACAATGCAGCTTTCATGTAATGCCATTTATTTTTCATGAACAGCCTGCTTCCAAAGCTGTCGGCGCTCTTCACCAAAAGCCAGAAACACATGATTTATGTCTCAACTGTTGACCTGTTAATAAAGGGCTGTGAGGTTGACTTGCTGTGGATCGTCATATCAGCTGCTGTCCTCATTCATCAAGCATAGGCCATCTGATGAAACCAACCATATCTGAGTCATTATGCAAAACAGGACAATATGTTACCATCCCACCTTACTTTGTTATCTGACTAAAAGATTAATGATTGTCATAGTCGAGATACTTTAGTTGAAGTCATTTTAATAATGCCTAGTTAGCTAAAGAGGACTGGTTAAAAACACTCTGCAGTCACAGTGTCTTTCTATCGGTTTAGATGTTATCGACAATCCAGTTGACCTTTGGAATATATCTTGATGATGAACGTATCAGCTTATGAATTTTTAAGGCAAATGCCCTTTTCTCTTGAAATGTGATCCACAGCGACATCCTAAATTACAAGAGCTCCTTATATTGCTAGTTTTCTGTTTTGGGAGAGTTCCAAAATGAGTTGGCTACCTGTAGAAGCAATCAATTTTCTCCATGTGAGTGAAAAATCAATGTCTTTCGATCTTGATTATGAAGTGACTGACCCCAAGGATTCTTCTATCTGATATCATATTACATCTGTAAAAGATACAACCACCTGAATGAGGGCATCTAAAGCAGGGCTCCAGACTAACATGACTCTTTAAACGAAATGTGCTTTTGAAGCAAAAACTGCAATCGCTTGAAAAAGATGCTGTTCAGAATGTGGCAAGTGACTTGAAGTTAAACAAATCTTTTGCAAACTCTGAATGACTCGCTGACTGAATCGGATTCAACATGCTAACTCACAAATCCATTTGACACGCATTAAAAACAACCGGTTCTTGAGAATCATTTATCCGTAAATCAGACATCACGGCTCGCCCTATAAAGGTGAAATAAATAAAAAAAAATGAGCAAAAAAATATATAAATTTTTCCATTTTTGCCAATGAAACCGTATACAGACACACAAAAAATACTATCCCAAGTAACAACATTATAAATAATTGCCACAAATTTGTATTTTGTTGCATTTGCAACTATTTCAGAAGCAGTCTGAAGCCCTGCTAAAGCATATTGATAATGATATGATCATATCTATAAAAGGACATTAAATATGAAAAGGTGCGGTCACGTTTACAGCTCTTCAACAAATTTTCAAAGGCAAAATCCAGTAATTTAAATGGGAATCCACGCAATTGTGAATTTTGCATGCAGCATATTTCCCAACAGAACCCTATTTGACCGTGTTGAGCAAGACAGTTGCTTGGTTTCAATGTGCTTTCAGTGTGAGCTGTGCTTCACACATCGTACACCATTGACAACAATTAACTTTTTTGCCCGCAAAATTTCCTTAATGTAACTGCACCTTAACACTATGAGAAATGAATCCCATTAAGGACCCCAAACTGATAGCTGAATTAAGAGCTTCGGAACCACATCCCAAAACCTAACCTTTCCTCATATATGAATATAGTGTTCATCTTTGAATAACGTTTCAATATTAGTAATTCCATTCTTCTTTATTCCCTCCTTCCATTTCCTAATGATGGCTTAAAATCCCGTGCACTGCATTGCTATTCCTTACACAATCCTTTATATGATAACATGTTAAAAACACTGGCGGAACATTCTATAAACATGGGCCACTAAAAAGGTTGAAAGAAGAGATGGGACAGGGATGGGATGCTAAATGCAGTGGGCCAGAGAGACTGTAACATTTCATCCTCTGTCCCGGTCCAAACCGATC